GCATTAATAGATAGACATCAAAGAGCACATGCTTTATACTATTGCTTTCTTCCCACATTTTTAGGAAGACTATTATTGGGTGCTATTAGAGCTGCTGTCTCCATTACTGTGTATAAGCCCTGTTCTTTCCCTTTCTATTCTTCTTGTAAGTATTGGAAGGATGGATGAGTAAACTATCTTTGTCCCAGAATTCTTGAGTTTCTTTCTCAAAGTTTCAAAGTCAGACATGATTTCTTCAAATTTCTGCTTTTGTCATATCATTTGTTTGCTCATGCATGAGAAGGAAGGTCACATTTCTAATCTGTCCTCAAATGAGACAGCACACCTGATGACTCTGTGTGTCTTTAAGATATGGGTTTCAGTATGGGAGCCAGTCAACACACTCTGTTCATTCAAATATGTGACAATCTATGGAGCATGCTGAAGTAGTTTGCTTCAAAGATCAGCAGAACACCTTCATGTGACATCAGTGGTACCAACAGTATGAAATTTTGGTGCCAGGGACTTCATGGTGCTCAGGGGCAGATGTGAAAGTGAGTAGAGATGAAAGTCAAAAAGGGTGACTTTCCAGCCATTTGTCATCCAGCCATTTGTGCTATATGTTTTGAGTTAATGGGTGGACAATTGCAAGCCATTATAGCAAATCACTGTGATGGATTGCTGTTATGTGCCAAACACCCATGATTAGCCTGGCAGACAATCAGACTCATCATGGTGGATTTATTTATTTATTATATTTATATCCCACTTTTCTCCCACTGTGGAACTCAGGGTGGTTCCATGTGGTTCCCAGGTGGTCGCCCCTCCAAACTCAGGCCAGCCCTGGACCCTGCTTGGCTTCAACATGGTGGGTGTCTTATGTGCCTTCTGACCATACTTTAGATTGTTCCCCCTCCCCATCTCCTTACTTCTCATCCCTCCTTGTAAACAACATGCAGAAAACGGCTCCTTTCTTTGACAGCCATGATTGCAAGCCAATTTCAGCATGCTGCATCTGTCAGAAATTCCCCACTGTGCAAAAGAGTTCACACAGAGAAGCACCGCAGGAAGGATGGGGAAGCTGAATGAGTACACATTGCCTTTGCTCCAAAGACCTTTGGAGCAGGAGAGGAGGCAGAAGTGCCTAATCTACTCTGTGCTAGTGCTGGTTCTCTATGCAGTGCTGTATTTCAGCCTCCTACCTGGGAGAAGAGCTCTCAGGCAGAAGCCAGGAGCTGCAGATCAGCCGGGCAGCATTGGCTCATACTTGGAATAAGTCTCTCAGGCAGGAGCTGGGGGCGGGGGGTGGGATTGGTTCAGTGGCACTACTTTGTTCTTGGGGCAGCTCCACCCAACTGATTGCCCCTCACAGCTGGGGAAGTTGTCAGCTGAGAGAGCAGCAATGGCAAGAAGGTCACTTTTTATGGGGTTTCAATTTCAGCAGGTTGTGTTTGTCCAGTTTTGGATGACACAAAAAACAATCATGGTAGGAGGAAATCCTAGAACAGATAGATCCTGTTGTGATCTATCATGGTTGACAAACACAATAAGCCACAGTTGTTGGTCAGCACAGCTGGGTTTGGATGACATGAGAGACTCCCATTCCAGACAAGATTGGCTTCTCATGTTGTGGAAATCTAATTAGTGTCTAGTCTATGGTTGCAGACTTTAGTTATTCACTCTTGTCATATTTCTAGATATTGTTTTGTGCTTGTGCCACATTGGATACTTCTCTGGATTATGACAGATGGGATAGCATGTTATGGCCTCATGTCATCTGTGATGTTCTGCTTGAGTTAGAATGCTTGAGGTTGAACACCACCCTGTATTTATGTATATTCATTCGCCACAAGTCAGAAAAATTCCTGCAGATTTTTTGAGGAATTGATAGTACTAACCATTGACAAGAGTTTCCTGGTCTCTGAGTTGTTAAGGGACTTCTTTGCAACCCCAGTCTCTGGAGCCATTACAGCTTAGCTGCAATTCCCCAGCATAATTTTAGACCTGAGCAATATGTGAATAAAGACAGGGAAAGTGCATGTTTGGGTTTACTTCAATCCTCCTGAGGTTGTTCGCAAAGCAATTTATAATGGAGTAGAAGTGAATTTCATTTCCTGCTTAGTATTGAGCAGTAGAGGAGGCAGGAAGGTTCAGGAGAGCCATTCTTATACCATAATCATTTGGAACCTCGACTGGAACCCTAGCTATTTTGGTTCTTATATTAATCTGGGTCTTTATGTTTGCAGCTGTTTGATCAGATGCCTACAATATGTTTTATTATCTCTCCCAGCCAGGACTTCATAACTCAAATCAAGCATACACAGAGAAACTTCAGAGTGTCTGTGTGTGTTGTTTTACTTAAATGAAAATCAATGATTACCCTAGAACGGCAAAGGAACTGCATAGTGATAGACACAGTGTGGCCCCAAATACGGATGCTTGGCTCACCAGCCTGCCTTTGCACTTCCCTCTCCCTTGCATTGTACTGTTTAAAAGTTAAAACTGTTACTTACCGAGCTACCACTGGCTTTTCTGCAGTGATGGGCCATTTATTTATTTTATTTATATCCTGCCTTTTTCCTTCAAGGAACGGAAGATGGCTTAGTGCTGCTGCTGCTGCCACCACTGCCAGAGGAGCTCCTGGATCTCCTGGCAGTGCAGCAGCTTCAGATACACAACTACAGAAGTGCAAATTCCCAAACAAGTGCAGAGCTCCCTTGCCGTTCCAAGGACTCCCCTGGAGCAGAAGAGGTTCGCAAGGTGGTCCAAGTGGCAGCTCCAGCTCTGTAACTGATATGCTGATGTTTAAACTTGGATTTGCATGTGTGATCCAAAGGCTCCTTTTCTGTGTGGCTCTGAGAATATCATATATTATTTTAATTATTATCATTACTGTTGTTATCATGACTATTCTTATTATGTTTTGCAGTTTGTTTCTATGTGTGTACAGTTAGTGTGTGTCAATGTGATGGGTGACTGCATGTGTGACAGGGGTGCTTGTATGTGTTGGGGACTTGCTCATTACTATAATTGTGTCATCCAAATTGCTGGCCATGCTTTCACCTGAGCAATCCAGTTCTTACTTTTTATGAGATATGCATAATCTGGAATTACGCCTTGTGTTGCTACTTAGTAGGCCTGTTTTAGTGGAAGCTTTGTGATGGATAGACAAAATCATGAATTTCTGGATGCTTTCAGGATTTGTTCTTTTCTTCTAAAGACAGCTTATCTGTTTGGCTCTGAGAATATCACATTATTATCATATCACCATCATTGTTATCATCACATATTTTAATTAATTTTGACTGTCACTGTGGCTGTATTGATTCTCCCCTCACACTCACTGATCTGGTTTGGACAACACAACGGTCTACCCTTGTTTGTTATCATAGCTGTGTTGTGTTGTGCAAATGGTCTGATTCACGTGTGGATCTTGTCATCCATGCTGGGTTGTCATGTCATCTGAATCTGCATGACACAAGTCACTGTGGGTGAACCCCAACAGCCAACAAGCCCCTTGGCGAGAGTGGCAAAACATCATTGCAATTCTTGGCAAGGGTCTACAAGGCGTGTTCTCCTGATAGGAGCCTCCAAACTACAAAAGTGTCACTCAGGAGCCTGTTGTCTGAAGCTTTCCTGTGCCCAGTGAGGCAAGGAGTGGCCATCTTTGCTTGGTGACTCAAGAATAGATCCCTCTATTCGCCAGCAAGGATGACTGGAAGAGGGGAGCCAGTGATTTATTGTGTGGCTGCCCTGTGCTCAGGGCAGCTACTTAGAGTGAATCAGACAACCCTTAAGGCTTCTCGAGTTGGAGGAGCTTACCCTTCTTCCCAGCTCTGCTTCCGAGCACAGATTCTGTTTGTGCTACAGAGAAGATGCTGATGATGCTGATAATGATGGGTCCCTGTAGCACTAGCAGCGCTCCTGTCCTGAAGTACAATGAGATGAGGCTAGAAGATGAACCCATTTTACTGCTGGGACTTTCTGACAGCTAAGGATAAGTGAAATCAGCTCCCAGTTGTGACTGTCAGAGAGAGAATGCTTGTTTTTCCTCACGGTGTTCCCTCAGAAACCACACAGAGAAATGAGAAGGGAAGGAGGGAAATACTCCCAATGAACCTGTGGGTTGTTGTGCTGTCTGTACTCAACCATCACCTTAGAGTCACCTGATTCTCCGTGGCATGGGCATTGTGGCTGGAACAAGAGAATGTGGGTCAAAAGGAATACTTTTGTATGGCTGTGTAATGTCCCCCTCCCCCTGGACCAGTTTTCTCTTTTTGTGAAATGGGTTGTTGACTGCATGGAATTTTAGTATTGATTTCAGTATTAATAAAAATTAATTTCCATAGAACAACAAATTTTAAAAGCCTTCATGTGAGAAAATTGGGGAAAAGAAGAATTACTAATTGTCTATCTTTTATGTTTTCCCAATTTACCCAGTTTTGCAAGGTTTCTAGTAACTTAAGTGATATTTTCATGAGAAAGGAAATACACACACAGCTGTTACTAGTGTGTGGTTAAGTACAGCCAAGGTTTTTAGTTTTGAATCAAAATACTTTTGTGGGAGAAACTACAAAATATAGACGCATGTTGTGGGTGTAAACAAAACAAAAGATCTTATTTATCTTGGCATATTTGCATAATAGACACTTTTGAAAGCTAAATAATGCACAGAGAAGTAAAAGGCTTCACACTGTGGAATGTAATACTAAAATATTTCTGGAATCTATGTTGTGGGAGGATATTAAACACTTTAAGATAAAGAACAGTTGGCTTCACACCCGCCCAGTGGATTCTTTATGAAATCCAATATCATTTAAGCACTTTTTAAAGTGGTACCAGTTGCCAGTCACTGCAAGCCTTTCAGACAGCTGTGCTTTGGAAACACAATTCTTAAAGAGGTTTTATAAATCTTATTCAAGATTGGCAATGAAAAACTAGGCTAATGCACTAATAATTTAGCCCATCATAAACCAGGAAACTGATTAATAGACAATGTTAATAAGAACTATAGGCAGAAGAACAGAGACGTTATGTTTTATCAGACAAAGGGCACATGTAATCTGAAATTTGGTGTTGTGCACATGGGTCCTATCAAACCTTCAAACGCACTCACAGAAGACTCCCCATGCTGGTTGTACTGATGATTCAGATTCCAGTTTTGAGGATGAAGCTGTTTTTGAAAAAGGGTAGCTTCCAGCTGCAGTTCAAGGTCCTGGGATTCAAGAGGAGGTGGCAGTGGGAGAAATTAGCCCATGGGCAGATGCGGAGGCAGACCAACCCAATTCTGGAACCATTGAGGAGTTACAGCCTGCAGGAGACATTGGCATGGGTAAATACAACCTGATAGGCATAACTGAAACTTGGTGGGATGACTCCCATAAAGATACATATTTCTATACAGAAATACAGGAGAATGAGCTTACTATTATTATTATTGTTATTATTATTATTATTATTATTATTATTATTAT